TTTTTTTTTTTTTTACCAGGCTAAAAAACATAAATAGAGTTTTAATACCTTCTCCAATAAATAGTACTGGTATTCTATTTACAATATGCACACATCTCCCAAAGAGCTCATGAGATATATCTGTCTCATGACAAACGCATTCATCTGCCTCCACTTTCCAAACTGAAACATAGTTAACAAAAAATAGCTTTTTAGAGGCATGTGTGTGTTATTAAACACCTCTCTTCCAACAGAGGTGTCTCATATCACATCTACCATTAATATGTAGAAAGGGGGGAGGGGGGAGTGATTGTCAAAAAAAAAAGTTCCTTATGGGAAGCTAGTGGAGCAAAAATGTTTTTTGATCGGGTCATATCCTGCAAAAAGGGGCTGCGTCAGGAATCGACCATCTAGACTGCGTTTTCCTCACTGCCATCCAAGATGTGAAATTTCCGAGATGGACCTGCAACAAACAAAAAAAGAGCCATAAATGACTTTATTGTAGCAAACAATGTCACAGCGATGTAAAGACAGGTAAAAAGTAGAAGCTGGCAGGTGTTTGAGCAATCTTACTGTTGCAGTGCCCATAGTGGCGGACTCCTATGGAGCGGCCGAGGAAGCAGGTAGCCCGGCGGAGGTGGCAGGCGCTTGGGTAAGTGACGTTGTCATTACCACAGATACGGTGCTCAGACGGCATGGGTATTGGGCAAGGTGCAGTGCGGCACATGACGCAGTGAGCACTGTTGGTCTGGTCGGTCACACAGGTGTGAGTTCCTGGACACACAACACTGGAGCACGACTCTGGGGAAATAAAGAAAAATAAAAGGCATTAGGGCAACAGAATTGTTGGAATGCTTAAGAACAAAACAGCTTAGCTTCCAGGGAAGGATGAACTTACTTCTGCACTCTCCGTGGTACATGACCTCAAGGTCTGGGTGTCCCATACAGCGTGCCATAAGCAGAGAACACTCATCCTTATATGTCTTCCCATCGCTGCCACACACAGGATGCCTCCGGGTAATGTGAGAGCAGTCTGGAGAGCAAACACACTGAGGCCTTCCTGTCTTCATCTTGCAAACCTTCCCGGGACCACATCTGACTCCCTCACATGTCTCTACAAAAGCACAGTGTAATGTTACCGTATTAACAAGACTGCAGACATCAGGTGATTCACCTGCGTTTTCATACAAAACAAGCTGGAAACCTGGGTTTTTTCCCAGATCACAACACAATTCCCACCTTGCACAATATTTATAATAATCACATCTCTTTATTGACCGTTACACACAGAGGTGTCTCGCCCGATGGAATGTGAGGCTGGCGTGTTTTCATAACAGATCTGTGTATGGCTGCACACAGACTGTGCGGAGGCTGTGAGGAAGGAGTTCAAAAAGCTGTCAGGAAAGTTTACGGGCTGAAAAACGAGGAAGCTACAGGCTATTCCGACACCTCATAATGTCAAAGCACAGGACGATCTGTAATCCTAGCGCAAAATCAACATGAGACAGTGCATACAGGTCTCTTCCCGGGTTTCTGAGTCTGTGGAGATGATTCCTGATGAGCTCCGAGTCCCGAGGATTCTGTAAACAATCGGGAACTTATTTCCTGTCTCCAACAGTACTTTAATATCCTGTTTTATTTCAAAGCTGTGTTTTCATTGCTCGACTCCCCTGGTCTGTTTCTATGGTTGATTTCAATCTCTCCCTTTCTGTCTTGCTGTCTGTATACCTTCTCTTCATGTCCTCTGCATATGCCACTAATGTCCAGAGTTGCTAGCTATTGCTTGTTATTTATTTGGCATGACACAACATGGTTGAAAATATTGATGTTTTCCTCCTACAGAAATCCAAACTATCAAAATAGCGCAGGACATTATGATTCCCAGGTGTCTGGGCAAATTTCAGAATGCAGGAAAACATTTTCCTGTTTGTGAAAGAAAACAGGACTCCTTTTTAACTAGCTTTGGTTTCCACCAGCCTCATTAATTGCCCATAAGTTACAGCGGTTTATTTTTATGCAAGTGGCATTTTAACAAAGCTTTAACTGTGTTCTTTCTGCTTATTTAAAATTTATCTAAACAGAATTCACATCTCAACTTCTCCATGATGAGCCATGTGACACACCAAGGCAAACATGGGGCTGAGTGTATCCAAAAATGCCAGTAGCTAGTCTTGTCTTTTTAGTGGAACTTATTAAACATGGAAAGAAAAGAAAAAAAACATTGTTCACATGCTAGTTCTGCTTATGAAAACAGAATTGATCTGCAAGCGAACCTGAATGAACCTTGCAGAAATTCCATGGCAGGAAGCTTCTCAGGACAGCTGGAGTTTCGTATAATGCCTCTCCTTGATCCTCGTCTGCAATTTGTTAGAAAGCTGCACTGGGAACTCATTGTGTAAATATCTCACAAATGACTCAAATGGACCTTCTCTCTCCAAGAGACACAATTGTTACATTATGCAATGGAATCCCCAGTGTATTAATCGAAACCCAATATATATTTAAGCTTTGTTTTTAAGTGCGCAAATTATATCTAGTGTATCAGCTGTTATTCCATGTACTCACCTTAAACTAACTACAGTAGCAGACCAAGCGCAGTAAATATTCGAAAGAATATGACTGTTAAGAATTAGGCAGCATCTTTTTACAGTTAATGGCAGTGACTAAGAGCAGTACATGCAACTTGCTTCTTATACTTGGCAGATGCAACTCATTACTTTCTTAATGGTTTGTTTACCTTTGCATGGTTTACAGGAGACAATACCCAGGAAGCCCAGCAGGCTGACTTCATTCATGGGCAGGCTGGTGTTGGACCACGCTGTGTCCAGGCGTCCCCCGGCACAGCACTCCTCCCTGGTCACCCCTCTCATCAGCACCATGTCGCACCTTTGATCTTGACTCTGCTGCAGCCAGCACATCCCAGCTGGAGATGGTGCCATAACAGATGTTAATTATTATAGGAATATTTATCTTTGTTACAGAAACACTTAGGAAGTGTATCGTGTTATTATGAACGATTGTCAATCACACTTCATAAGTCTTGTCACAAATCTTTGTCTTTTTAAAAATATTATACCATCTAGAACACTATATATTACATATGTCAGGGTTTTTTTTTAAACACATATCAGTAGTAAATAGCTTATTTCGAATTTACAAAAATGTACATGCAAAACAGGAGAAAAATGGATTGGGGTTTTGTCAAAATCCTTCTTTCACAGTGATCATTTTACCAACATTTCTGCTATGATTTTTAAAGCATAGGACATTTTGTTCAACATATGGAAAAAATGGAAAACATCTACTCACCGCTAACAGGATTCCTCCCAATCTGACAGAAAGCGAGAATCACCCCCAAAACTGAAATCAAAACGTTCATTGTGTATTCTGAGTTAGTTTAAAAACTTCTTCTCAAAAGGTTGTCTCAGCAAACACCTAGAAGAAAAGGTGATGGTCCTTTGGCAAATAGAGCTGATCACTCTGAGTTAACTTTGCAAGTAGCTCTGCCTTAAGTGAATGAATGTGTTGTGAATAAGTGATGTCGTTCCCCCTCTGTATAAATATTTATGCTGCTGGGATGGGCGATCCTCTCAGCCAGTAATAAGCCAGGGCAGGACACAGTTTGACTCTGACTCAATTTCCAGAGTCGGGAAATGATCCATGCCCTGCAGCACTAGACGGAGGGCACTTATATGACCTCACAAAACCTTTTTACACCACACTAAATAATAAAAATCATGAAAAGGGCTTGTTTTTTAATAGCCTTTTCTTTATAAAACATTAAGTTTTTCTAAAGACAGCAGTGTTTCCTTATATACTATTAATTAAAAGATGAACCTTTGGATGTAACCTTTTTGTTGCCCGTTGGGGTCCAATATGTTTTACTTTGTATAATTTCATTTAGCCTTTAATGGGGCACAGCTTGGAGATACTTATTCTCCTTTTTCTTTCTATCGGCTGCTCTGTGTGGTTTTGGGACATGGCCCATTGAAATGACACACTTATTTCTTATCTCATTGTTCTTTTGAAGTGACCCTAAACTGTTCTTTCTGTAGTGTAAATCCAGCAGAAGGCAAAAGTTCCCCACAACAAAGCTACAAATTATTATCCAGTGCCTATAATTATATGTATCTAGCAAATCCGAATACATGAAGCAATTTGCCTCGCCAGCACTGTCATTCCTTATTTTGTTGACTGTCTGGGTTTATCAATGAATGCTTATGTTTCGCTGTACAGCTGCGGTTAGAATAATACTGAGAGACGAAGGAAAGAGTGGGAGTGAAGGTGGTCTGCCCTTGGGCAATATATCAAGTTCAATAAACAAAACTATGACATACATGTCTGTCCTTTCATTGCTAATCTACGATCAAACACAGACAGCCACAAGCAGCGAGACTGAAAACATTCAATAAAATTTTTTTTTTAAATGTGGACATATATACAATATCTGTCAAGCGCAGGGACAACAATGTTCATGTAACACCACCCAGTCTTTAGAAATGGCACACTAGGAGCGAGTAGAGCCTAATCTATATTAATACTGTGTCAGATCAGGACATCTGCTCTGCTTTTCCTCCTTTCCTGCACTCATTCACCCCCTGACACTGAGAGGTAATGACAAAGTTATGCGAGTCTGCCCATCTGTCTGTCACAGCTTTATTTTTAATGTTCCCTTTTGATGGTTGAGGGGGAAATGGAGGTAGCATATGCTGCAGTATCTGAGTCTTCGTGAATGATGTTGGCTTCTTCAACGGAGATCCCCAGGGCAACGAAGGAATGCTGCGTGACCTAGGAGGGGAGGAAAGACGAAAAGAGCGCAGCAAGTAATGGCTGTGGGTGGCCTGCCTCCTTGCTGGGTTTCTGCAGATCCACTGAGCCCCTCATATGGTTTGGATCATCACTGCTGAGTGATACAATGAATACAGGATGGTGGGAATTTTGGAGCATCCGCTGTATGATTTTTATTAGAGAATTTAATGTGTCCCATTTTTGTGGGATTCTAGTCTTTTTCAAGTGGCAGGGCTCTTTGGAGTACCATGAAAAAAATCCAGCGTAGACTGTTTCCATCGTGGAACAGTCAACACCTGCCTTGTCAGCACATCCCCGACAAGGCAGGTGTGGGGTTCGGTGTCATTCTGTAGATCACCAAAAAAAGTTTTTTTTTTTAAAAAACACACCACTGCCATCTAGTGGAGTGGTTTGGTGTATATAATATAGCAGGGTTTTATCTTTGCTCACACACATTTAGCTTATAACTAGGGATATGCATTCACTGGATCCCCTTTTGCTTTCAGAGTTGCCTTAATTCTTTGTGGCATAGATTCAACAAGGTAATGGAAACATTCATCAGAGTTTTTGATCCATATTGACAAGACAGTATCGCACAGATGCAGATTTCTAGGCATTTCTCGGGAAATCTCTCAATGCACCACATCTGAAAGCTGCTCTATAGGATTTAGATCTGGTGACTGGAGGCAGTTTGAGTACAATGTTCAATGACTTGAGCTTTGTGATATGGTGCGTTATCCTGCTGGAAGCAGAATCAGTAAATAGGAAGATGGATGCACTAATGTCATAAATATGTACATTGTCACCAACAATACTCAGGCTGTGGAGTTTAAAGAATGCTCAGTTGGTAGAATGGGCCTCAAGATGTGCCAATTCTACCCACACCACCACACTGGGATTGATCGTGTTTATACCAAATTCTGATGCTACTATCTGAATGTCAACAGATATCCAGACTCAGATAAGGCAACCCCAATCTTCTACTGTATTGTATTTGGTAAGGGTTAGCTTCAGTTTCCTTGTTCTTAGTGGCACCCAGTCTAGTCTTCTACTGCTCTAGCCCATCTGTTTCAAGTGCTTTGTGTACATAGATGTTCTATATGTATATGTGTGTGTATACACACACACACACACACACACACACACACACATATTTTTTTTTATTTAAAAACCATAAAATACAATCACACTGTCATTCAAATTATGAGAAAATTAAAATTCTTGTCACATTATTTTATATTCCTTTTATTTTTCTTTAAAAAAACAACATTGTAAC